TTATTATAGACAGTGCTTATACAGTGGGTCATTTTTAAACAGTTTTAATAAAATTAGGGTCATTTTTAGTAGTTTTAGGTCCCTTATAAAAGGGTCATTTTTAGAACGATTTTGATGTATACAGGATGCACCAAGTAACCTGTCAAAACCAAAAATCGTTATAACTTCGTTATTCCTGGGAATTAAAAAAAAAAGTAAGTTTCACATGTAAACCAACACATTTATCCACATTTTCATCCTAAATGGGACAAATTTCAAAATTCAAAAACACATTATTTAATAAAGTTTATAAATTTTTTTAGCTAAATGTACAAAACATTCTTGCATGGTATTTATAAATATCAGATCATTAAGCATTTATCAATTTTTGTTGTTTACAGATTTTTTTTAAAAGTCGTACAAGCGCGCTTAATTTTTATTTGAATAAATAAGATGGATACAAAATTTTGTAAATTTCATTTAAATCGGACAAAAATTGTTCGTGTTCCAGCACTTAAAATTTTTTTAAAGTTTTTGGGTGGCCAACAAAAAATTTAATTTTGTCGATCAGTGTTATCGGACACCCTGTAGACTGGTGCCTGTGAAGCTGGGACAAACTTTAATATATTGTGAAAAATTGGACCTTGATGTTAAAGTTATTACCCACCACTAAAAATTTACGGTGAACTATGATACGAGGTGTGTTCAGAAAATATCGGGAATTTTAGTTTTTTGAAACAATTATTTATTTATTCGTGTTGTCGCCTTCAAAATAGTCCCCATTGGATATTATGCACATGTGCCAGGTCTTCTTCCAAAACTCAAAACACTTCTAAAACTCGATCTTTGGGATAGCCTTTAGTTCTTTTAGCGATGCGCTTTTAATGTAATCTATGCTTGCAAAAGACGACCCTTTAAGGTTCTCTTTATTTTTGGGAATAGGAAAAAGTCAGACAGAAGCATGTCTGGCGAATATGAAGGCTGGGGCATCATTACAGTATTGTTTTTGGTCAAAAATGTTGATCAAAATTTAACGATTTTAGAACAAATTTTGCTGCCACGCGTTTCATACCCAAAACATTCGAAAAAATTTCATGGGATAAGCCAATCGATATACCAACATCATCAGCGACTTCTCTAATGGTTTATAACCATTTCTTCCACTTTTTCCATGTTTTTATCGGTTGTTAATGTGCTTGTGCGTTTGGGGCGTTCGTCATCTTCAACGTCTTCACAGCCATCTTGGAAACTCTTATACCACTTGTAAACTCTTGTTTTACTTATAGCAGACTCACTATTAACATTTCACAGAATTTAGATCATTTTCTAAGCAAAATTGGATACAAATTCTTTGATCCATTTCTTTTAACAAACGAAAAATCGCCGAGCTCATAAAACACGTTTAACCTTAGCGGCTGCCACAGACAAAGTAAACAATGAAAACAGCTAAAGTTTTTATCATACTTCGGGGGCATGTATACCAACATAATAAAGAAAATTTTAGGACAACCGGACCCTCCGAACCCGCAAAATTTAACAATTCCCGTTATTTTCTGAACACACCTCGTATATCAGAAAAACAATATTTTCTATTAAATTGTTATATCTTTTTCATTGTAAGTAATATAGTTTATTTTATGGCTAATATTGGCTCAATTGATTTTCCTGGCATTAATTTAGCTAAAATATATTTTGCTTTTTAAATAAACAAGAAAACATGACATTATTTACAAAAACGTACGAAAACATGAAATGAACTAAATTGTTTCAATACAATCTTCTTTAGTTTCTGCCATGCCCGAGAAAACAAATTCCCTACTTTAAATACCTAACTACCTCAATTTATATCGTTTCTAACGATGATTCATCGCCAACTTCTTGAAGCGACTGTCGGCGCCCACGCGCACATCCAGCATAACACGCGGTGTACAGAGTACAGGGCCCTCTGAGGGCCCCTCTCATCTTTCTCCATGCACATATGTGCCGCAGAGGGCCTCAGGCTACGGCACCGCCAACTGGCCTATATTCGTATGTACGCTTAACACGATGACGATGACGATACGCCCAAGCGACAACAACCATCCCATAGAACAAAGAAACTGCGTAAATACTATAGCAGATTTATCTAAGTAGGCAAGGTTTTCCATGGGATTGTTTAATGTAATACGTTGCTGTGTTGCAGATCTAATAGCAGGTTCTCCTCCCAAATGACATAATCGCGAGATTTATTGGAAATGGAATTTATGTGAATATGCATGCAGTTTAGGTGGTTTATCTAATTTCGTTGGGAACGAACTTGAAAATAATTTAACAAACATATATCCGGTTAATTAATGGTAATTAATTTCCAAAGTCTAAGAGTTACTTTTATCTGTGCTTACAACAGTAATTTAAAAATTTTATTTAAGTATCCTCATCCATTTAGTTATAGACTTACTAGCTGTTAGGTACCAGCGACTTTGTTTATTTGGAATACTAATTATATTATTATTATTATATTAATCATGATAAAGGGTCAAAAAGTAAAATAGTAGAGTAGACGTTACGCGTCCACTCTCTTTACTTGTGCAAGGTTTCAGGACATTTTTCTGCAGTAATTGGTCATTTTAGACGTGTGTTATACATATACGTATATGTTTGGCTTATTTTAAACAACTTTAAAAGTTGCGTCATTTTTAATATTTAATCAGATTTAAACCATTTATGGACACTTAATATACATAGTTTGGGGACAGTTCTAATACAAATGGGGTCATTTTTAGACATTATTGTCCGTTCTAATAGTTCCAATTAGGGTCAAATTTTATAGTTTTAACGTATTTTTAACCGATTTAGGCCATTTTAATACAAATGGGGTCATTTTAGACTGTTGGCATAGTTTAGTTCATTACTGGCAGTTCTTATACGGATTGGGTCATTTTTATAGTTCTAATAAAATTCGGGTAATTTTTAGTAGTATTAGGTTATTTTAAACATATTAGGGTAATTTAAAGACTTCTTCTACAAATATGGTTCTTAAATAATATTGTCCTAGTTTTAATATTTCTATTTAGGGTCATTTTTGATAGATTTAGGTTGTTTTTAGTCAGTTTTAATACAAAATGGTTACTTTGGACTGTTAATATAGTTTGGGTCTTTAGTTCTAATACAAGGGGTCATTTTTTAACAGTTTTAATAAAATTGGGGTCATTTTTAGTAGTTTTAGGTTAATTTAAACATATTAAGGCCATTTTTGGACAGTTCTATTATAAAAACGGTCATTTTTAGACATTATTGTCCTGGTTCTAATAGTTATAATTAGGGTCATTTTTGATAGTTTAGATTATTTTAAACGGATTTATTAGGCTATTTTTAGACAAATATAATACAAATAGGGTAATTTTTAGACAATATTGTCCTGGTTCTAATAGCTTTAATAGTTATAATTATACCCTATAGGGTCTGTTTGATGGTTTTAGGTTACTTTAAACAGATTTACGTCGTTTTTAGACAGTTTTAATACAAATAGGGTCAGAATAAATATAGTTTTGTCATTTTAGACAGTTCTTATGCAGTTTGGGTAATTTTAGATTTTTAAATATATTAAGGTCATTTTTAGACAGTTCTAATACAAATAGATTAATTTCTAATGGTTTATTTAAATTTAAACAGATTTAGGCCATTTAGGACTTTTAATATGATTTGGGTCATTATAGACATTTTCTAATACAATTTGGGACATTTGAGACAGTACTTATATAGTTTGGGTCATATTTACAATAAAATTGGGGTCATTTTTAGACAGTTTTATTACAAATAGGGTCATTTTAAAAGTTTTTATACAGTTTTGGGTTATTTAAGACAAATTAAAATAGAAAAATTTAATAAACATAAGGTAGGTACCCAGAAAATAACATCGACTTTTATCGACGTTTTTAAAGAATATAATTTATTTTTTACGATAATTTTCAGAAATATGCAAATTAAAAAGCCTATTAGTAAAGGAAAAACCCATGTCAACAAGAGCAAATTTGGCAAAATAAATTACGAAGATTCAAAGAAAAGAAAAAAGACCTAAATGCTACCAACATTTTTCTTAATTTAAATACTCTGGTGCATCCGCCATTTTTTAAACTTTGTAATTTTTTGTTAATTAAATTATTCAGCAGGTACTTCTTCATTTTGATTTAGAAGAAAATTTAGTTTGCTTTTAAAAAGGCCTATTTGTAAAGGAAAAACCCATGTCAACAAGAGCAAATTTAGCAAAATAAATCACGAAGATTCAAAGAAAAGAAAAAAGACCTAAATGCTACCAACATTTTTCTTAATTTAAATATTCTGGTGCATCCGCCATTTTTTAAACTTGGTAATTTTTTGTTAATTAAATTATTTAGCAGGTACTTCTTCATTTTTAGGAGAAAATTTAGTTTGCTTTTAAAATGAGTACAACATTTAGTAGGAACTGTAATATAAACCTTATAGGTAGGTAAATGTTCTAAAAAAAGAGGAGAAACTTGGTATATCTAAAAATCCAAAAAATATACAAACAATATTAAATATTTGTAAGATCTAAATTACTTTAATCAAACATCTTTGTTAAATAACCAGATAATCATCAACACAGTCATTGTTTATCCTTTATTAGCCTAAACAATATTTCCATCATTAATCATATTCGCATTTGGCTAGAACTGGCGACCTTGATTTAAAAAAAAATCTCCGCTCTTTATTTAAAGTCCCGAAGCCCCATGCACAAAATGAATAGAACGCTCGGATAGACAGTGAGGCAAGAGCTATATTTGAGCTGGCCTATATCCAAAACGAAAACACGCCGTTACCCCCACTGTGCGCGGGCCATAACGCGCCGCGATAACTAGATGATAAGAAGAAGTAAGTCTACATTGTTACGTTACATGTCATGTGACAATTGCGCATCGTTAATCGAATTGAGAAACCCTTGACACGAACGAGCACTAACATGTCTTCGCGGCTAAGGCGATTACCCAGTCGATAGGGATGCAATGATAACAGTTTTCGCTCACCTGGTCGAATTTTCGGCGTTCCAGAAGTTTCCACGGTACACTGGCACTTAGGCAGCCATCCAGTTCTCGAGTGCGGCAGTTGGCAGGCACTTGGCGACCGCCGACTCCCACCAGCCACGGCAGAGGCTTCCAACTAGTCTTGCGTCACCGTATATATCACTTTACCCGACCAACAGGAACGAGGGATGAAGACCGAGCTGGTCTCTAATGCCCCCTTAAACCGATTAGAGCAATCCTCTAATGTAATAATATCCGCTGCTGTGTGCGTATGCGAGTACTTGTTGGGATGGAATGCCATCCTCGTGTTGATAACAAGCCATTGTACCTACTTGTTGAAGTAGGTTTATGTTCACCTTATTATTATTACGACGTTGACTTAGATATAGATTTCCACATTTTATTTGTTTTGTACCATGTTCTTTACCATAGCATGCTGCTTATCGATTTTTAACAAACGAAAGAACGTTTTATATTATTTATGTTTCGTGGTTTGTATTTCCCCTTTGTTGATAAAAGACCACAACGCGAAACCCAATTTAAAACATCAAGATTATTCACGAAACCAAATTTAATTCACCCTATAATAGGTAATTCCTCAAACTCATTTATTATTTATGCACAATATCTAATCAATAGCATAGCTCTTCGTGTAAATAGATAACAAGTTGACCAAACTTGTACATTTGACCTTATTATTTGAATGTAGTAAGTGCATGAATATCTTTTCCACGCGCAACATCGATTGCCTTTTTGATTCGTCCCTGGATGATGATGTTTTTTTCTTTTTTATGGTATAACTAAACATTTTATCGGGAAAATTACAAACAATAAACAATAACAACCAGCACGCCGGCCTTGTTGCATTTACATATTTAAATATTATTAATATTAATTGAATACTCTTTTAAGCGCATTTTTTATACTATTATTTAATCTAAGATACCTAAAATCATGTCGCGGAAACCTTGAAATGCAAAATTTAATTATAAATAAATGCAGTTATTGGCTGTAGTTCTTTACGACAAAATTTCAACGAGGATCTAAGCAATTTGTTTTGTTGTGTATGACAATTCATTAAAATAATGACACTATTAATTTCGTATATAAGTGCATCCTTGAATAAGTTTTTATACAAATATGTTAATTGAGCATTTTTTAGTTGAATATTTGTTTTTGAGTTATTAAGAATTATTAACTGAAGGTTGACAAAGTTAAGCTTAAAGTTTTGAAATAAACACAATTTGTTATTAATAAATTGAAACTAGTTTTTCAGTGCAATTTTGCGATTTTAGTTTAAAAAATTAGAGAATAATTGGATAGCGTTTATCATAAAAGAACCAAGCGCCCAACACTTTTTCTGTAATAAACAAAATCATTTTTAATGCTGCTCAATAAATTAGTAAAGATTTGGGAACCCTCTCAATCCATTTGAGAAAAGTTTCAAATGATGATCAACCTTTTGAGCACTATAAAAATAAGTTATTTTACAAATAATTTTACCAAGCCCAAAAAAAGTTTTTGGCGCTTGGTTCCTTTTCGATAAGCGTTATCCAATAATTGCAATTATTGCTATTAAAGGTGTTTTGTAGGCAAACCAAATTTTAATATATCGTAATCTGAGCTGCCTACCCAACAAAATAAATTACAGTTATCTGCTTTCAAAATTATTCTTTTATTCATAAATTCCCGGGATAAATATTCTTTAATCTATAGGTAATTGTATATTATCAAGTTTTATAAACGCCGTTTTAGTTACGAATTTTATAAGGCACGAGCGAAGCTTGCGAGCGAGTGTTTAATAAAAACGAGTGTCTAGAGAAGTTTATAAAACGAGTTGAACGAACAGAAATAAGAATTTAAAGCCAATTTTAATTCATTAATATTTGACATTTGACGAATTTAACCTCACTTTTTCGTAATTTATAATAAAGCCAACTTCTGCCCGTAACTAAAATGCACAAAGGCCACTATTGCTAACTTCAGACCGTGACTAAAGCGCTATAATGTAACAGCTCGTCTATGTAGGAGTAGATAATAGTATATTATGTATCAAGTGCGAGTTGCATACCTACTAACAGTGGCGGCTGGTGAATTTTGGGTATACCCATATCTCAGTTATTAGACATGGGACCCACACCAAAATTATATGAGTTTATAATGACATTAAATAGACAAGATCTGCGCAAGCAGAATTTAAATTAAAGTTTGCGAAAAAAGTTTGTTTTTCAGCTAGTTTCCCCCACCCCTGCCCCCCCAAATAAAAATAATTCAAATTAAAGTGGTGCAATTTTTAATTTACTACAGTTTATCGACAAATTTCAAATTTTATAAAAAAAATCCTGGTATTGGAGATTTTATACCATTTCGTTTTTTTTCTTTTTCACAATTATAATTATTAAAAATTGCACCACTTTAATTTGAATTATTTTAATTAGGGGGGGCAGGGGGTGGGGGAAACTAGCTGAGAAACAAACTTTTTTTCGCAAACTTTAATTTAAATTCTGTTTGCGCAGATCTTGTCTATTTAATGTCATTATAAACTTATATAATTTTGGTGTGGGTCCCATCTCTAATAACTGAGATATGGGTATACCCCACAGACCACCAAAATTCACCAGCCGCCACTGCCTACTAAACTTAATCTAAAACGAACACAAAGAAGAATTTAAAGCCAAATTAATTTGTTAAACATTTGACATCTGTCAACTTCTAACGGATTTAACCTAACTTTTCCCTAATTTATATTAAAGTTAACAAGTTGTGGCTTTATAACGTCGTAGTCACGGGCTGAAGTTAGCAACAGTATTTTACTCACAGTTAGTTGACAGTTGTCAATACATACATTCGTTAAAATAAAGTACCCTTCTTGTGAAATAATATTATTTTATTATATTTATACAAAAATACCTATTTGAAAAGTTTATATGCATGTTTGTACTTACCTTTTGATTTTGCCGGCAGTAACCTAGATTTAACTGAAAGCATTAAAAATTTTGGGTTGAGACTAACGGTTGTAAGTCCATTTTTAAGGGATAAATTTTGATTAGATATTTTGGCGCGCCGGTAATACAGATTTCAAAGTTATAAATTGTTACGCGAGTTACTCTATTTTCTTATAGATGTCGCTCTATACAAATGTTTAATTTAAATTATTTTTACATTTATTAACAAATAGTATTAAAAAGTATATGCAATTCGCAAATTAAATTGGTGAATAAAATGGTGTTTATCATTACCAACAATGTCAGCAAACCATGAGCATTTTTGAAAACTCTACAGATTAACTATTATTTATATAATAAATATATTTGAATAGACCATAGAATAGAAAATTGTTTCATATTAATAATATAAATTAAAACAAACTATTTAATTTTAAATTATAATTATTATTAGAAAATTCTTAAATATAAATTGCTTAAAAAAAGTAAACCCTCAAAATAAACTAAAATTATAGTGCTTAAATAATATCCTTAACTGGCAGTGGCTAAAGGATTCCTGACAACCATAATAACAGCATCTCCTCTCAAAAACATCTTCGATATAAATCTGTCTTTGTTAACTGGCTTCGACTTCTTCTTTCCTTTATTGGGCCTCGGTAGTTCAGTCCACATTTCTTTAACGTTTTCCAATACCATGTTGCAATGTCTATCGAAAGCCTTTACACGTCCAAGAAGCTTTTTGTTGTTTCTGCAGTTAATTAGGACCTGAGTGTTGTTTTTCACAGACTGGGTAAGCACTGAAAGTGGTCCGGTGTTGAACTCTTCTTCTTCGCGAGCTTGGAGCTCCTCGGAGCTCATTTCGGATTTAGGCTTTGCTAACGCCATGATTTCTTTGTAAAAACTGTTGAGTAATTACGTAAATATACGTATTTTTGTGGAAAAAATAAATTTTAAGGTTAGCGGCACACAAGCGTTGACAATACGTCTGTATTTTAGTGGTTTTTGGATTGTTGTTGTGGTAATTCTAGCTTAAAAAATAAAATCACTAAACAAACAATGTTGCCAAATATACAATTATTCTCAGCTTAACCAACAGCACGAAAAATACCCAAAGCAGCCAACAGTAAAAAATAAATTCAGTAACACCAACTTAAAATTTATAGTCGTTGTTGCCACCAGTGCAACTTTAAATAGAACTAAAAATCATCAGGGATTTTCTTTTAAAACTCTCTACAACATTGTTTCAGTGTTGCCAAAAGTAAATTGTAATAAACGTTTTTTGACGTAAAAGTAGGTTATGATATAAAAATAATAACAACGGGTAATTTATAGACCTTGCATTAAATTGGATTAAGTTAAAGGCGAGTTTAGGATGTTTTTCTTGCAATAAAATAATATGTATGTAATTTTAGCTATGGCAGGTGATAAAAAACGTAGGTCTAGAAGTAGGGAACGTACAGATAAAGAAAGGGACAAGAGAGTAAAAAGGTCCAGGTCCAGGAGTAAAGAGAGAAGAGATAAAAGACACAGGTCGCGTTCCAGGGAAAAAGATAAAACCGACTTAAATAAATATGGTAGAAATGATCGTGATAAATATGTTAATTCAGAACGAGACAAAAAAGGTGATAGGTTGGATAAAAGGGATGATAAAGATAGGAAAAGTGGTAGTAGTAGCGGTAAGGATGTTAAACCTGAAACTGAGGAAAGTAAGGTCAAGGTAGAGACTAAGCCACAGCTTAAAAAGGAAACTAAAAAGGAGCCATTGTCGCTGGAGGAGTTGCTGGACAAAAAAAAGGCAGAGGAGGCAGCAAAAAGCAAGGTTAGTTTACCATTTTCAAACTCACTCCATTTAAGCAATAAAGCAAAAAAAAATTAAAAATTAACAACAATTAAAAACTGTGGTTGTTTGTTAACATTGTATTGATGGGCTTTTTTGCTTAAATGGATAAAGTTAACATTCTTAAGACAGGTATATCTTGCTTAATTTGACATTTTTAAGATAGCTATAACTGTCTTAGAAATGTTGGTCTTATGAATGTTAACTTAAACAAGATATATATCTTGTTTAAGTTATATATAACTGTCCTAAAAATATCAACTAAAAATTCACTTTTTAAGAACTGAGTTTTATTTATTATAGAAAAAATATAAAATAAATATGTAATATAAAAAAAAAGTTTTAAAATTTATTAGGAGTCAGTGTTGCCACACGCTTTTCTTTTTTTGTGGTAGATTTAGGAAAGTGTTAAATTATAATATTTTTGTGTACCCACTTGCTTTTTCTATTGGTAGAATATTAGTTTAAAATTTAATTTGGTTTTAGTGAATAATATAATAAATAAAACTACTAATTATAAAAAATAACTTTTTTAGAGTAGGGTTGATTTGCTTGAGGGAAGCAAGAGAGTGAAATAAATTTAAAATGGGGAAGAAATATCTTTTTTGGGGTAGCTGTGGTAATGCTGATATGATTTAGATAGAATAGATAGAAACAGATAGAAATAGATAGAAACATTTTTTTTATAATTTTTCTAATTTCTTACCACTGTTGTTTAGCAGTGCAATGTGGTTAAATTTTATATAACATTTATGCATATTTTTCTTATAAAAAAGTAGAGACAAAAAGGAAATTTTGATGAAAAAATAGTGTATTTTTTTAGTTCCAAATATACATATATATCACGACGATTTATATCAAAAATTTATTATATGATATAATATATTATTATAAATTATTATAATAAATTATTATTATTATAAATTTTGTATCTCTAATGCAATTTTTTTTATTTTTAATTGAAATCGGCAGTTTGTTAACTGTTAACTTCATAAAATAATTCAGTATGCTTGTAATTTTATTAAATAATGAAATTTTTCTTTTAAAGAAATACGTTATTTTATGGTTAAGTTAAATTTTTTTACTGGAAATATATTTGAATTTGTAATTTTTACGTTAATAAAACTATTTAAACATAGAGTTTTATAGAATATATAAAATAAACACCATAATATATTCTATATTATTTAATGATTTATAAAATATATATAAAATACATCAAGTATCCTTTTATGTATGGGTATCTTTTTTATTTAATGAGCTATAAAGTCGGTTAAATAAGACAAAAGTTGCGTAAGTCTATTAAAATGGCATTTAAAAATTGAAAAAAATTTTGCGGTATTTAAATTATTTAAAAAAAACTGAAAACCTGTCAAAACCAAAAATTGTTATTTTTGGGAATTTAAAAAAAATAAGGTTCTCATGTAAAAATACACGTTTATATACATTTTCGTCCATTTTGTGATTTTTTTCGCCTTAGATTAGATTTTGAGTTACAACTAGGGTTATAATTTTCCTGAAAAATTGAGCCCCCGCGGCGGAAAAAAATGGAGAAATTGGGAAATTTTTAGAAAAATTGACTTTTGCATTTTTTTCAAAGGATATTAAGAAAAAAATTAAAATAATTTATTTTGTAAATTTACACATTTTTACGTATAATATCCGTACACTGTTATCGAGAAAAAAGTGAATTTCCAACGCTAATTATAATCATATAATCATATAATATTATGATTATACTAATTATTCCTTTTATTTTATTTCAGTTGAACAACATAAGTAACTATCGTTTTATTTAACAAATGAACTTAATAAATCATTCATTATTTTTTAATTGGATATTTTTATTTTTGTAGAAAGGACCAACAGTATTTATTTAACGTTTAAGTTTATTTTCTTAAATCAATTAAATTCAATGTTTAGTTTTATTTGTTTTTTATTTTCTGTAATAAAGAATAAGTTTTGTTGATTAAAATATTGTTAAAAAGTATTGAAATTTTACTTGGCTAGACAAAAAAAATCAAAGAATAAAAAGATGTATCAACCTCATAAGTTTTTTTTAAAGATTTTTATTTTATTTTAAATATTTTGAGATTTTTACAATTTCTAAAGTTCATTTTAATAGACTCGTAATTACGCATTTTCTTGTCTAATTTAACCGACCTTGTATATATTTCAATAAAAAAATACCCATTGAAGGATACTTGGTGCACCCTGTATATTATATAATATATAAAAAAATACTATGCTTTTTTTATTTACAAATACAACCATTATATTATAATGGTTGTATTTGTAAATAAAAAAGAATAGTATTTTTTCTTCTAAAATCAACAGATTTGCGGTGATACAATTCTACTTTCAGCCTGTATTTTTGACTAAAGAGCAAAGAGCAGCAGAAGCATTAAAACGTAGACAGGAAGAAGTGGATAAACAAAGAAAACAACGCGAAATGGACAAGAAAATCGTGGAAACAATGCAATCTTCTCGAGTGGAAGAAACGAGAAAGGACGACAGAGAATTCAGAAGGCCCAGAGACAGAGATAAGGAGGAGGAAAAGCAGAAAGACAAGGACAAAGAAAAGGAAACTGACGCGATCAAGGAGAGGTACTTGGGGTTGATTAAGAAGAAGAGGAGGGTGAGGAGGTTGAACGACAGGAAGTTCGTCTTCGACTGGGACGCCGGCGAGGACACCTCGCTGGATTACAATTCTCTGTACAAGGAGAAGCACCAGGTGCAATTCTTCGGGCGCGGAAACTTGGCGGGCATCGATATCAAGGCTCAGAAGAGGGACCAGAGCAAGTTTTACGGCGAGCTGCTGGAGAAACGCAGGACCGAGGCCGAGAAGGCGCAGGAAAAGGTGAGGCTGAAGAAGGTGCGCAGGAAGGAGGAGAAGCAGCTGTGGGACGATCGCCATTGGTCGGAGAAGGAGGCGCCGGAAATGACGGAGAGGGATTGGCGTATATTCCGGGAGGATTACAATATCACGATCAAAGGCGGCAGGATTCCGAATCCGGTTAGAAGCTGGAAGGAGTCCGGTATCCAGAAGGAGTTGCTCGAGATTGTCGAGCAGGTAAGTTTAGAAATGTTTTTTTTCAGTTTTTCTTTCATTTGATGTTTTTTTTAACTTGGTGCTTTAAAGGTTTGGAAAAACAAAACCTGAAAAAAAACCGCAGTTTTTTGTATTTTTTTTCGCAAAAAGTATGAAATAACTTTTAATAAATAAATTAATACAATAAATTACACAAAAATTTATGAACATACATTTTTCTGAAACTTTATTTTTTGCCAAAGGTTTTTTGGAAAAATCCTGTTATTTTTCGAGCACCTAATTTTATCCGAAATTTGGAAACTGGAATTTTTCAGTCTAAAATTTGCGAATATTTTATTCACAAATTCGCGTACCTATTTATTTTACAAACGTTTGAGAATAATTTTATAATAATACAAATGGAGACTTTTAACTAAAAAGTTATATAATATATATTTTTAATTCCACGTTCAATAAATTATGCTATATCAATTTTTCCGAAAACTTCCTCAAAGGATTTTTTCCGTGCACCTAATTTTTTCCGGAATTTGGAAACTGGATTTTTCAGTCTTAAATTTGCGAATATTTTAGTCACAAATTCGCGTATTTATTTTTGCGAATAATTTAATAAAAATACAAATAGAGACTTTTTACAAAAAAGTTATATAATATTGTTTTTAATTATACATTCGATGAATTATGTAATATCAAGAAATTTGCATTGAATATAAAAATTTTAATTACAATTAGAGAAGGATGAGCACTTTCAAAAGCGCTCATAAGTGCTCATAAATGCTCGAACGCTTATAAATAAATGCTCGAGCATTTACCAAAGTGCTCGAAATTTGAATTTGGCGCCAAAACTAAAAAGCGGGGTTATAAATTAACCAACAAATAACTACTTTTTACATCAGAACATGTGCAGGTCACAAAAGTGGTGCAGGTTTCCAATCCCAAAATGGTTTACTTACCTCTATTTTGTTGGATGTTTTTTTTCAATTTTTTTTTAAATTTATATTTTATCGTTTATAAATGCTCGAGCATTTATGAGCGCTTATGAGTATTTATGAGCGCTTATGAGCATTTATGAGCGCTTATGAGCATGACTTTTTTATGTTAAAACTGCCAAAGAATAAGAAATCAATTTTTTTAGAGTCAAAATTGTCATGAAAATGGGGAATTTCATCATTTTGGCTAAAATTTTTACTCCAACAAAAACGTTTTAGGAAATTATTAAAAAAATATTTTATCCAAACTGAAAAAGTTATGGATTTTTTAAATGCTCATAACTTTTTTTACTAATGTGAAGTTTTTTAATTTCTTATAAATACAAACAATATTCAAAGTCATTTTCTATGCAATTTTTCAGTTTTTCATCATTTTCAATTCAATTTTGTTTAAAAAAACTTTATTGTGCGTTTTATTCCGCAAATTCCATTATGGGTTTATTAAATTTCATAAAAAATATATATTTTGAGTTGTTTTTCAGTATTTTAAGTATTTCATAAAAACTTATATTTATAGGTTATTTTTTAATATTTCAAGTGAAAATTGTACCCTCCTGGGGGGTTTGAACACCCAACTGTTTTGAGCTAAACTTTTTGCATCTTTATGTTTATATATTTATTTAAATTTATTTTAGTTAGATAGACAAAAAAATATTTTTCAATTAAAAAAAAATTGAAAAAAAAGTACTTTTAGAAACCAAAAAAATTAAGAAACAAATCAAAAAGTTCTGATCATTACAAAAGTATCATTAAAAGAACACTTTTTGGTTAGGTGAAAAAAATGATCATTCTATGTACGGGTATCTTTTTAATTTAAAGAGCTATAAGGTGGCTGTTTTTTTCAATTTATAATATTCATGTTCACCATAGGCTTGTAATTACGCAACTTTTTATTTTAACCAACATTGTAGCTCTTCAAATAAAAAAAATACCTATAGAAGTATACAGATATATCAGATATATAGAAAGATAGGTGCACCCAGTATATGAGCCCAGAATCATATAATTGGGCTGAGACAATATTGGTAAACACATAAGAAAAATCCATTGAATCCAACTATTATTATAATAATAGTTGGATTCAATAGATTTTGTGTTTACCAATATTACCTGAAATAATGTAAAATATAAAATATTGTCTGGGCCAAATGATATGACTACTAAAATGCATTTTTGAACTACAAAAGTAATTAAAAGCGCTTTTTAGAACAATACAACACATGTTTACGATAAAATTAAAATTAAAAATGGGATAGTAAAAAAATAAGAAAATTATTAATTTCAATTTTAACGTCCTAAAAAGCGTTTTTAACGCGATTCTATTCTATTTCGTATTGGATCCTTTTATAAGAGATTGATACTCTCCCCACTCCTCTAAGATGTCAATTTTAATTATTAACAAAAAAACCCTATTGGGAACTATTTTAGCGGTTTCGAAAAAAAAACAAACAAAAAAAAAGGTTTTTTTAGATTCTGAAAAAAAGTTTTTTTTAAACCACTAGGTAGGTTACAAGGAGCCCACGCCCATCCAGAGGCAGGCCATCCCGATCGGTATGCAGAACCGCGACATCATCGGCGTGGCGGAAACCGGTTCCGGTAAGACGTTGGCCTTCCTGTTTCCGCTGCTGTCCTGGATCCAGAGCCTGCCGAAAATCGAGCGTACCGAGGACGCCGATCAGGGTCCGTACGCGATCATTCTGGCGCCCACTCGCGAGCTCGCGCAGCAAATCGAGGAGGAGACGGTCAAGTTCGGTCAGCCGCTCGGCATCAGGACCGTGGTCGTGGTGGGCGGTTTGAGCAGGGAGGAGCAGGGTTTCAGGCTGCGGATGGGCTGCGAGATCGTCATAGCGACGCCCGGTCGTCTCATCGACGTGCTGGAAAACAGGTAATTTTCATTATGCATTACTTTTTGAATGAAATTTAAGTTAATTACTCATTAAATTTTTTCCAATGAGTAATGTATTCTTTTTTACATTACTTATGTTTAATTTGTAATGGGTATTTTGAAATTTTCAATTACAATTTTTTATGTTAATGAGCAATGTACTCACTTTACATTACTCATTTTTTAAATTTTTAATGAGAAATGAATGATTATCGAATTACTCATTTTTAGTGGGCAAGGAAGATATTTTTATTACATGAGACATTTTTTCAATTTTTGTTTTGTATTGGTTATTTTCCAGTAACAGACGTTCAAAATTAATTATTTGTTCATATCATCGCGGATTCAATACTTTTTTGAGTTTAGGTCGCCTTCTCACCTAATTATCATAATCCCACTATCAACCCCGGCTTAAAATTTCTTGAGTGGGTAGAAGTTTAACGTAAAAAATTTGCAAGGTAATCTAACAGTACAAACAGTTTAAAAATGAAATTTTAAAACTCAAAATTCGTATGCAAATATACTTTGGATAATTTTGATACACGAAAATTTTAAGAAATAAAAATTTCAATTCGGACCATTATTAAAGAAATTAGCAGCAAAAAAACAAAAAACGCGATTGTTTTGAAAATTTGATATCTTTTGAACGAGTAAAAATATCAAACTTTACCAGAAATTGATTTTTAATGGGTAGGTAGGTACTTAAAAATATCGAAAAATAAAAGAAATCGAAAATCAACATTTTTCAAACTGCCAGACTTGGTGTAAAATGCCCCATCATTTTTAACTGATGTAATGGGTAATATCTTTCTTTACACATTTTTTTAATGTTTGATGTACGGACTCTCATTACTCATTAATTTTTAAATGAGTACTGTTTAATTTTCATTATGCATTACTTCTTTTTTAATGAAAATTAAGTTAATTACTCATTACATTTTTTTCAATGAGTAATGTATTCTTTTTACATTAATCATTTTTAATTTTTAATGAGTATTTTGAAATTTTCAATTAAAATTTTTTATGTTAATGAGCAATGTAGTCACTTTACATTACTCATTTTTTTATTTTTAATGAGAAATGAATAATTATCGAATAACTCATTTTTCGTGGGCAAGGAAGATATTTTTATTGCAAGACAGATTTTTTCAATTTCTGTTTTGAATTCCAGTAACAGACGTTCAAAATTATTATTCGTTCATACCATCGCGGAATCAATACTTTTTTGAGTTTAGGTCGCCTTCTCACCTAATTATCATAATTCCACTGTCAACCCCGGCTTAAAATTTCTTGGTGGGTAGAAGTTTAACGTAAAAAATTTGCAAGGAAATCGAAGAATGCGAACAGTTTGAAAATTGAAATTTTAAAACTCAAATTCGCATGCAAATTTGCATGCGAATTTTGAGTTTAAAAATGTAAATGCTTTGGATAATTTTGATACACGAAAATTTTAAGAAATAACAATTTTAATTCGGATCATTATTAAAGAAATTAGCAGCAAAAAAACGCGATTGTTTTCAAACTTTACCAGAAAGGGATTTTTAAAGGGTACTTAAAAATATCGAAAAATAAAAGAAATCGAAAATCAGCATTTTTAAACTGTCAGACTTGGTGTAAAATGCCTCATATAAAAAATCCCGATCATTTTCACTGATGCCTTTTGTTACATATTTTATTTAATGTTCGTCATTACTTCGACATTACTCATTAACATTTGTGCAACTATGAACAGGTATCTGGTGCTGAACCAGTGCACGTACATCGTCATGGACGAGGCCGATCGCATGATCGATTTGGGCTTCGAGCCCGACGTGCAGAAGATTTTGGAGTACATGCCCGTCACGAACCTCAAACCGGACAACGAGGACGCCGAGGATAGCAAGGTCTTGCTGGCGAACTACAACAGCAAGAAGAAGTTCAGGCAGACCGTCATGTTCACGGCTACCATGCCGCCGGCGGTGGAAAGACTCGCCCGGACGTACTTAAGGAGGCCCGCCGTGGTCTACATCGGTTCCATCGGCAAACCGGTCGAGAGGGTGGAGCAGATCGTGCACATCATGGGCGAGAACGACAAACGCAAGAAGCTCATGGAGTACCTGTCCAAAGGGGTCGATCCTCCCATCATCATCTTCGTCAACCAGAAGAAGGGCGCCGACGTTCTGGCCAAGGGGCTCGAGAAGCTGGGTTACAACGCTTGCACCCTGCACGGTGGCAAAGGGCAGGAGCAAAGAGAGTACGCGCTGGCCAGTCTCAAGTCCGGGGCCAAGGACATGCTGGTTGCCACCGATGTCGCCGGTAGAGGTATCGACATCAAAGACGTTTCCATGGTTATTAACTACGATATGGCTAAAACAATTGAAGGTAAGTTTATTTTTTACATTACATATTTTCCTTTTTGTTTTTTTACGTTTTGTGTTAATGTTTTATGCAGCAAATGCACTAAAAGCTCATTCACATGCACTTAATATGCGTAACTTAACTTTACTTAACTTAAGAAACATACATATGTTAAGTTGTCTGTTTACATTAACTTAATACACACAAAAAACGTAATACAGTGTGTATTAAAACGAATAGATACACTTAAATAAAACAAGTGCCAAACCACGCCCACTGTGGTAGGGATTGAATTTGTATCATTGTCGTATGATCTGTGCGCAGTGTTGCCAGCGTCAGTACGAATTCAGTACTTAAAAAAAGTAAGCAAGTACCTCGTTGATGGTTTTCGGTACGTTTTCCAGTTTTAGATTTTTTCCCTTTATTTAAATAAAAATTAAAGAAAAAATTAGAAGTTTAGGTTGGTGATACTGAGTTATTTTAGTATCCTGGTATTTTAAGTTTTAAACTGTTGGTAGCGCGCGTTGTCTACTTAGTGTTGACATAAGGTTTGTTCCAAGTTCGCCAAGAACCGCTCATAGGAATAATAGGAATTATTGAAGCCAAATACCTCAATCTTTGTTAAAAAAGAAAATTAATTATCGATAGGTAGACTATTTTTTAATTTTACCAACAATATTGTTTTTTTGTATTGGTATAATAATAATTATCTATTTTGTTCTTTTGATGTTTATAGTTTATTTATGTGCATGTGTTTATTGATAAATTACAAAATAAAATTACGTTCATATAAGTTTAATATTTATTTCTCAAAGTCAGTACGTTATCTTTCAAATTCAATAAGTTTTTATTGCCATTTCAGTACTTTAATTTTTCTACTACTGGCAACACTGTCTGTGCGTCAGTTTAAGAAATGCACTGAGACTTTGCGTACGTCTTTGTAAGAATTTAAGTATTTTCTCAAATAAAATGGTTTTTACTCGTGAGGAAAAATACCAAATTATGGTATGGCATCACACTGGTAGATCGTATCGCCAAATACAAACTTTATTTCAAAATATGTTTCAAAATAGGCCTTTACCCAGTGCAGCTACAATCCGCGGCATGCCGCGCTGTTGCCATATGCTATTATTGTTTCCTAAAAGGGTTGTTTTTCTTATTTTTTAATATTAAAAGTAAGAAAATTAACTAAATCAAATTATTTTTGACATAATATTAATTTTTTTGTTATTTTTAAAGTTTCAAACAAATAAAATTGAACTATTTATTAAATAATTATAATCGTACTCTTCTGATTTAAAACAACCTGGCAACTATGGTTCGTAATTACGAATGGCTTGGTTTAAACCACGCCCAATTAAAGTCTGTTTCTTTTCCTCTGATCAGAATATAATTTGTCATCCTTGTCTCCAGCCTTACTTACTTGATTCTATACAGTCTGTATACAAGTGTATATAAAAGTGAAACAACAAGATAGCGCTATATCGTTTTACTGGGCATGTGATTGGCTCACGTAAGAAACGTATTCCCTTAAGTTGAGCCGGACCCAACTTTTGGATACGTTAAGTTACGTGTGATAAGTTTTCTACGAATGTAAACAGCTGCATTGGTTTCAATGTATTTCAACTTACGTCTCTCACGTACGTTAAGATACGCGTATTAAGTGGATGTGAATGAGCTTTAAAACTTAAGATTTTTTTAATAAGGTTACGCATAAAAATATTAAAAAATATTAAATTTAAAAGCGGAAAGAACTTCTCAAAAGGATCACCAGAAAACCATTTATTGTTAAATTTACATTATTTCAAGAGTTTTTCGAACTAAAAATCGATTTGCAATAAAATTGGTCCCAAAAAAAGTTTGCAATTAAAAAAAATATACAGTGTGTCCACGGATGGACAACTATACTTGTAAAAAGATTTATTTTCAATTTTTCGAGGTAAAATCATTTTTTATAATTTCTTATGCTTGTTATATAAATACGATTCGCGTTGATAAATATCCATTTTGTTGTACAGGGTGAGCAAAAATACAGATTTTTAAAATTAAACATTTTTAAATAATTTTTTTTGAAGCGCTAATATAAAGAGCTGGTAAGGAGAAATCAAAAAGTCAAATAAAGTTTTTTCATATGAGTTTTTGACACTAGGATATTTTATTTTGAAAATTTAAGTTATTAGTTTTTAAATTTAAATTATACAAGAGTTGCGTAATTACAAGTCTATTAAAATGGAATTAAAAGTTGCAAAAAATATCAGCGGTTCTCAAATAATTTGAAACATAATGAAAACCTGTCAAAAGCAAAAATCGTTGTGACTTCGTTAGTCCTGGGAATTTAATAAAAAGTAAGTTTTACATGTAAACATACGTATTGATCTACATTTTCATCCAATTTGTGTTTTTTTTGCGTACTGGTTTTTAAGATACCATCACCTTTTTATGTCCGCCGTATTGGAATTTTAAATGGTTGGATATATATATATATATAAATGAATTGCTGTGCGTTAGTTCAGCATAAACTCGAAAATGGCTCAACCGATTGAAATAATTTTGTTTTGGAACCGAAAGGAACAGCCGAAAAATCGAAAAAATCCTAATTCGTACAACTTTGGATTAATTTGAATAGATGGCGTTCGAAGCTGCGCTTCAAATTAAATATCTATTAAAGTCAGAAATGGCTCAACCGATTTAAATATCTAATGTATGATTTTTTGTTTTGTTCGCTCAATACAGAGGTGATTTAAATAAAAATACATTAGGAAAAACCGAAAAGGAACAGCCGGAAATTCGAGAAAATCGAACAACTTTGGATTAATTTGAATAGATGGCGTTTGTAGTTGCGCTTCAAATTAAATGAAAAAACTAGAGAAGGAACCTTTCATTAACAAAAATAACATTTAGTAACATTGCAAATAATACATTTAAGCAACATTTTATTTGTAAATGTAATGTTCCTGAGCCGGACATAAGGCTTTGTTGCAATGTTCCTGCAACATTGCCACAAGGATTTTTGTAACATTACATCTAACAAATGTAACGTTCAGTAACATTGTAGAAATATTATTTTTCCCAGTGCGGTATTGTTCGACATTACTCATTAATTTTTTTTAACGATTAAAGTATTCAAACTATATTACCATTAAAAAGAAAAATGACTACCTATTGCATTATTTTTTACATTAACAATTTTGCAACTCTGATTTAATTCTAATAGAAAGTATTAAATATTTTACTTTTGTTTTGACAAAATGGTAAATAAACTTTGAAAAAAACTAAACTTGCCAATGTTAAATTACAGAAATATTTACTGGGGCACGGACAGAGGGGACATTTTAAGTTTTGCCAGTTATTTTCTAAATTAAGTTAAATACAGTATTAAAGGGTCTAAAACCCACCACTCTTCTTACAGGAAAATTATTATAAATATTTCAGTTTTTTAGGTAATTTCTGGGGAATTTGTTAATTTTTTAGGGAATTTTTATTTTTGGACCTGAATTGAGTATTTCCCAGAACAATAATGATAACTTTTAAATATATTAAAAATAATAATAGAGAATAGCAAAACCTCAACTTTTCTTTTTTTTTGTCAGATTACACCCATCGTATTGGTAGAACTGGTCGTGCTGGTAAAACTGGTATCGCAGTTAGTTTTTGCACCAACGACGATTCTCTCTTGTTCTACGATTTGAAACAAATGCTGCTGTCATCGCCGGTTTCGACTTGCCCGCCTGAGTTGATGAATCACAGCGAATGCCAAAACAAACCCGGAAGCGCCCCCAAGCGGCGCAGAGACGAAATGATTTTTGCTTAGGTTAAGTTTTAATTATGTTTAGTTTTTATTAATAAATTTAGTACCCATACACAATAAGAGTTTTTTTGTCACTTTAAAAAAGGAGAACTAAGGTAGGTAAATATTCCATTAGGAAAAACATAAACTCTACTTATGCATTGATTAGCCTTGTACGTATTCATAGTATTTAAAACCATCCCATAACAATAGGCTAACTAAATCATATGTTAATGTGCACTTAACAATAACTGTTGTGGTGTGTTTTTTATAATTAAAAAAAAAACAATATTAACTATTTAGTCAAACCAGTACATTATGTAAGGTGTACCCGTAACCGTGAAATCTGCATATAGTGACCTTGATTCATTGATGGCGCCACCAACAATATATGCAAGAATAATTGTTTTTGCTTTATATCTGCACGCTGTAATTACAAATTATCTAATTAAAGTATAACTAATAATTTACCAACAACATTTAATATTGAGTCTAAAAAGTCCTAATCGATTTTTACGCATAGTTAAAACAAATTTAATAAACTTTATTAATTGGCTTAGTGGTAGGGATTTTATAAGGGTTTAAATGCCAGCTAAAAATTAAATTATTTTTAAAAACCATTTGAAATATTGTAAAATTTTAACACAAAATTAATAACATTAATAATCTTGATTCTGTACAAATTTTAAATTAATTGGAGCAGTAGCGTGTGTTAAGAACCGTAATGAATTGATTTTGTATTTTTTTTTTAATTTAATTGAATTAGTAGCTGTGAAAATATACTGGTTTAACCTACAGGTAGGTATAGCACAAACAACACGTAATTAATTAGATTCAATACCCTGGGATCTTAGTTATTTAAAAACAAAAGTATTTAACTTATTGCTTCTTCACAAGTGTTTTTAATTGCAAGCCCAGACAATCTTTCTTGGACTTATAAAAGAACGTATAGTTTTTTTATTTAGACTCGTGTTTAAACCAGATATATATCTCTGGTTTAAACACAACGTTTAAAACGATTATTAATCTGTATAAACAGAGCACAAACCCAAAGCACAAAAATTGTAAACAACAAAAATGGCCGCCGTTAAACTGTGCAGTGTTGCAGTGATTTTTTGTATTTTTAGTACGAGATAGAACAGACCTTGTTGTGTGGATTGTGAAGATAACTATGCCAAAAATAATACCAGATTCTAAAGTAAAAGAACTTTTAAGGTCAAAACTTAATTTCGATGAAGTTATGCCAAACGCCTCAATGGCAGAAAAAGTACATCGCGTTATGGACATTTTTGGAGTAAAAAAGTAACCTTTTTGGTTTTACAAATAATGAAATCACACATTATTTTCAGCTAAGCAGATCAAACATTTTTGAAAATTTAAAAAATAAGTGGGAAATAAAAAAAACAAAAAAATTATTTGAAAAATTTGAAAAATCTAGTAGTTAACTTTCCTTGGTTTGAAAAAGATGAGCAATAATCACGAAACTTTTACTTCTTTCAATTTGCAAGTTACTGGTCATTAATAGTCCTGGACCATATATACATTATAATTATTATTAAGCCACTACAAGTATTAACAAAATACTCATTCACCATTGGAGTCCAATGATTGGACAACATTCATGCGTGTTCACATAAAATTTTAATTTCTTTTCAAAGCGAAGATTATTATTCGCAAGGAATACTTTGTCTCTCTTGGGCCGTAGTCACCTATATTTAACTACTTTTTTTATATGATTTTACTCATCTACGCACTACCAAAGCCAAATTAATTGCATGTTTAACCCTAGGTGTTTAACTACGAATTTTGACTACTCAACTTGACAACCGTTCAATGTAACCTACAATAATTTAAACATAACCACAATTACAGTATAATTACATTTATAACTACACCTTTTTCAGTTGATATTCAGAAAGTAGCAATTGATATTCAGAAAGCAGCAGTTGATTTTCAGATATTGCAACCCAGATAGCACAAGAGGTACCCAGGACGTCCATTTCGGGTCCCACATAGGTCCGAACGTCCTAGACCTATATCGGAAGTTTTGGGTACGTCCAGTCTCTTACTTATTTGGGAAAATTATAGCGGATATACTGGGTACGTCCCAAGGACGTAATTGAAGCATTGTATTTCCAAAGGGTCTAAGTGCCAAGTTGGTTAAATAATATATTATAATTTAAAAATAGTTTGTGTCATGCAGAATGACTTAATAGTATATTCTGTAACAAGTTTGGAATACACCATATCCGCTGGAGTGAAGAGTTTGTCACACGAGCCGAAGGCGAGTTTGATGGTTTCAGGAGAGCGGAATATGCAATTCCAAACGTGTTTCAGACATTTCAACATTTACATGTGCAAAATATTTGTTTTTCATTGATAACTCACAATTTTATTTTTGTAACTTAGACCTTATAGCGGTTTATTAGCGGTTTTTTTATTAGTCGATTTCTGTGTTTAGTGCCTAGTGATACTATCACTGTGATAGTAGTGTACTTATATATAAAAAAAATGTTTATATGTGTAAGGTTTAGGGACGAAGGCGTAAGAATGGTTGTCACAGCAGACAAAATAAAAAAAATTGACATAAACAATACCTATCGACTTCGACCATGCCTATAGGCATACAAACATCCTTTGCAAGAAAGACAAAAAATGATTATAACCGAGTAATTTTATTTGTTTTTTATTACTTTTTTGTGATATGTTATATGTATCAATACATACATATATCACCAAAAAAATAATAAAGAAATAAAATTACTCAGTAACAATAAATTTTTTGTCTCTTCTGTGAAAAATGAATTCTGGTTTTTACCCGGTTATCCTTCTGGAATCTAAAATTATTTTTGAATAAAAAATAAACTGGTAGGTATTTTCTAATCCAAATTTTAAAAAATAATTTGTTTTAATTGGTTGGAATGGGTTTGGCGCTATGAATTACCGATTCATTCCATATGCATTTCTATTGGATTTAGCCAATAGAGACAAGCATAGGCATGGATTGGTATTTCCCAATCCAAGCCGCTGACTTCATTGGAAATTACCAATAGGAATTCAACTGGAATAAATTGGTGATTCATAGCGCCGAAACACATTTCAACCCAATTCAAACCAATTACTTTTTATTGGATTCTATTGGTCATTTACAATAGGGATTTCAATTCAGTAAAAATCGTCAAACAAGTAAGTCCCCACTCAACGGTAGAATACCATTATATTATGTATTATATATAATATTATGTTGCTATATCGATGACTTTCTGCCAAAGTATCGCAAGCAACATAACTCAAATTTTGGGAATTGAAAATATTATTGTCTTAAAGTCTGTTTTAAATTAAATATAGCCTAAAGGTTTTATAACAAGTAAATAGCTTATAATTATAGCTATTTACTTGTTATAAAACCTATAGGTTATATATGGTTTAAAACAAAAAATGTTTTCAATTCCCGAAGTTTGAGTTATGTTGCTTGCGATACTTTGTCAAAAAGTCATCGATATATTCGTAGGTAAGTATATTTTGTTGTGCAGTTGTCGCCGTTTTTTTAGAGGACTTAAATAAAAAATGTTCTATTTTAGGTTATGTTTGTGTAACAATTTCTTAAAAATGTCCAAACTTAAATATACATTATATTTAGGTAAAGTAGTAGTAAAGAAATATACTTTCCGAATTGATCCTTCGGGAAAACATGAAAATGCAAAGATTTAGTTCTTAAATTTTATTTACAATTAAAAACACAATAATTCACCATGATCACAGATAAAATACACACACTAACGAAAGTATATATATATTAGCATATAAGCGTCAAGTTTCTTAATCAATGATACCTATAAGGAATCGAAATCAAGTTCTAAAGCAAAGTTTTTTAGTTTTTACGGTTTTACAAAGCAAAACACAAATAACGTGCGCGATTTAGCTGTGCAATTAAACAAAACTTGTCGTAAAACTTCTGCCTTTCTCTCTTTTTTGAAAAAATTACTTATTTATTTAAAAATATTGTATGCTTTAAATGTATTGTTGACAATTCTTAAATTCACACAATGCTACCGAACTCCACCAGATGGCGCGCGCGTTGCGAAAACCCGATACTTCTTTAGCGTATTATTAACAATAACCGTTTCTGAAATAATTAATAAAAACACTTACAGCTGTTTTTAAATCAGAAGATTTAAGAAGGTTTAAAAATTGATCCCGAAACAATCAACAGAATTTAAATATTTTTTTAAGGATAGATGAACACCATGTTTTTGAAAGTACCTATACAGATTTAAAATGGTTCAAAAACTGGTTTTCCCCAACAAATTTACGAGATTTTGCGGAAAATTAATATTTTGTTATAAAGTGGAAAAAAAAATTTAATTGCTGTGCTTGCTTTCTAAAGTTTGGTAATTTAAATATTATTACAAATTATTATGATGAAAAAATGAATTTCACGACACTGTCGAATTTAACCCAATGATGTTTTTGGGATTTTTTTTTTCAAGGCCCCATGGTCGGTGCCATGCGTGTCCGAAAATCCATTAGTTGGTACACGGCTAATAAATTGACATGGTTGACTTTAAAATGGTCGGGGACGCTCCCAACTAGTCTTATTAATCTGAATTTATAATTAGGCAATGAATATGTAAAGACTTCAGTGATATACACATACGTTTTTCTCGGAACATTTTATGATATTGTAGGAGTAACTAAGTCTAAACTTTATTACATAAAAGGACAATCACAAAAGTTCTGAAAAAATTAACATTTATTTTTTTTGTTGCGTAGTTATAGGTTTGTCATTTTTTTAGGTAAAGTTCCTGTAGATGTAGATGTAGGTACTGTTTCATATCGTTCTTTACATTTTTACTTAAATAAACCAACACTCTTGGTGGTCAGCTGACATAACCACCACGCGAAAATATAAAACATTAAAATCTTCCCCTTAATAATCAAGTGGGACCATCTTAAAACTCAGGTAGGTATGTGAGCTTTTCTGTTTTAAAATGAAGCTAGTAAAACTATTGAATGAAATTATCGTAGAAATAAACCACACGGGTCATAAATTGCATTTAAAATTAACAATTTAG